TGCATTTATCTAGTTGATAGTGGAGGCGCTTTTCTTCCAAAGCAAGCTGAGGTATTTCCAGACAAGGAAAATTTTGGCAGAATTTTTTATAATCAAGCTACCATGTCTGCTCAAGGCATTCCTCAAATTGCATTGGTCTTAGGGTCTTGTACAGCTGGGGGTGCCTATATTCCTGCCATGGCTGATGAAAGTGTAATGGTTAAAGGAAATGGTACCATTTTTTTAGCTGGACCTCCTCTTGTCAAGGTTAGTTCCATGCACTTCTGTCCAATGTCTTTGTTTAGATTAGCTAATATCTAACGGGAAGTTTTGGCAGGCTGCCACTGGAGAGGAAGTGTCTGCGGAAGATTTGGGTGGTGCTACTGTTCATTGTAAGACCTCAGGGGTTTCAGATTATTTTGCTCAAGGTATTGTTTCCTTGTGCTTTATTACCATTGGCGGAACCTCTCACTTTAGCATTATGTGAGGATTTACAAATTTTTATGTATCTTCCTGTAGATGAAATGCATGGACTTGCTCTTGGGAGGAACGTTGTGAAGAACTTGCACTTGGCTGGGAGGCAAGGGATGTTGAATGCATCTCCTAGCATAAACGTTGATTATAAAGAACCATTATATGATGTGAAGGAACTTCGTTCGATTGCACCAGTAGACCACAAGCAGCAATTTGATGTCCGATCAGTTATTGCTCGTATTGTTGATGGAAGTGAATTTGATGAGTTCAAGAAACTGTATGGAACTGTGAGGACTTGCGTATCTCTTGGATTTCCAAAGTTAACTTTTTCCTTATAAAATGCTTGAATCTTCTAACCTGGATCATGTTGGTGCAGACACTTGTAACTGGTTTTGCTAGAATTTTCGGACAACCTGTAGGGATCCTTGGAAATAATGGGATATTATTTAATGAATCTGCACTTAAAGGGACTCATTTCATTGAACTTTGTTCTCAACGTAATATTCCTTTGGTCTTTCTTCAGAACATCACTGGATTTATGGTACATGATCCCACACTTTCCTTCCATTACATTTTTTATGAAGCCTTTCTGTGAATTGTGTCCTTGCATTTATGATTCATGCAGAGTGT